TCTTAGCTTCTTTTAAAGAGAAAGCAGATCTATCAAAGCTTATATTTAGTTGTTTTCTTAAAGCCCTGGAAAACAACTATATAATTCACTGAACATTTCACACATCTTTTTTATTGTTGTTTAGTCATGTTCAGTGTTGTTGAATAGAGTTAGTAAAAATGTCCAACGCTGCTTGGTGTTGCCTACAGTTTAGCCAATTTGACACCAATGAAACATGAGTTGGGTTGAATAAATAGGTAGAGTTTGGTCGTCTTTGCCGCCCCCCCCCCCGCCCTCATTCAGTGTCGCCGGGGACCCTCAATTTTGGTATCAATTTGGTAAAAAGTCCTTTCCATTTTTCATCCATTTTCTGCTTTTATCCACTTCTTGTCTAGTGGCTTCTTTTCCTCACCAGTTTCCCCTACATACTCACGGCATCATCCGTAGCTCGCAGTTCAAAAAGGTTCGGTAGTGTTTAGTGAAAAATTTAGCTAAGGCTTTTCCACACATTATTCAACTTCTGAACACTCGCATAAAAAATTTACAACATCCTGCGATAGAAATATATAAAACATTGAACGGTTTAAATCAACCGTTTATGGATAAAAAATTTCCCAAAAATGAATGTCCATATAGCTTAACCTTTTAATAATCATTATAATAATTTGATGTCATTGTTGTTTTGTTGTTGAAATGAAACTTGAACTTGAATTTGAACTTAAAAACTTTTAGACAATGTGGCCACATTACAATAAATATGGATTTAATACCATATCATATAGATGACGCCAAATATCGAACTCAATCCCAAACGAAATAAACATAACTTCCAACTAACCATATATTCAAGATTAAATTTCAGGATTTTCATCGATCAATTATACTATGACCTTTGGAAGCAATACATATGCCAGACAGACCTTGAACCAACATAGTGTAGCTAGACATTGTATATACTTTTAATGAAGAAATGAAAATCTCGTTAGACAGCCATTGTGGGTTTATGGGGTTATTTTCTTGAAACTTGTGTGCACTCTTTCTCTTTTCAGCAGCTGATTCTCTGTTTAGATAATGTCACCATAAAGATAGCCAATATCAAATATTTTTTTCATTTTATACTTTGAAATGGCAATATATGTACTTAATATTTCATCAATTTGATATCAGACCTGTCAACCTTAAATTTTCAAAAACTGGAGATTTCAGATTTTTCCTAAAGAAAACAGGGAGATTTGGTCAAAAATAGGGAGATCACAGTGATTTATTAAGGGAATAAATATACCTGATAAAATTTTATGCTCGACAAACAGTTTATGACAAAAATGATCATGAGAAGTATCTTCATAATAACTTTAAATGTTTTTTTGTTAATCAGTAAGCACTAACAAAAAATTGTTGTTGTGGGAATTCAATGTGACCATTATATCTTAATTATACATCTGCAATAATAAAACATACACAATGGACCTGTCTTTGAAGCATTCGGTGAAGAATCTTCCTAGACATTCTGCTAGATATCATTGAAACTGGGAGAAAAATTTTAAAAAACTGGGAGACCAGTCAAAGCAGTCAAAACTTGGAGACTCCCGGATGAACCGGGAGGGTTGACAGGTCTGTGATATATATTATAAAGAAACTATTGCCATTTGCATTCATAGAAGTTTTTCACGAAAGAATAGAAATTATCAGCCCAGCTATCTACCAATATAATAGGCAGGTGATCTGTTTTAATGTCTGTATTTTCCAATTTTGTCTAGGTGACACAGGTTTGACTTGGTGCTTCTACTTTCCCATCCAAAAAAAACATTTGAAGATAGAACCATTTGAACATTTTCTGGCAGGAACTTCAGAAGAAAAAGTGCAACAAAGACAAGCAGTAATTTCTTAGGTTTCTGCAGTATGAGCCTTAGATTCCAAAATATAATCTATAGGCAGGGCTCTATAACTCTGATGAGTAAGGGAAACAGAAATAACCAAATTAATAGTGAGAATTTTCAAACATTTTGTACTTGAAGAGAGCATATAAGATCCATAGGGCAGTAAATTTTCAAGTTTCTGTAAACAGAGAGGTCAGTTGCCTACCTTCCCAGGTGGCTATTATGCCCTTTGCTGATCAATTATTTCAAATGTCCACCATTCCATTCAAACTTTACGATATCAGAAAAGCCCAATACCTTTTCAATGTACCAATTATAGAACAGATATTGGTAACTTTAAAATAGAAAAATTACTTGAAAATATTAGACAAGAACTGATTTAGGGATTAAAACCAAGAAATTCATGGTGTCTAAATCTCTATTCCAATGTGTCTGTTACACAAATTATATCAGTTTATTGATCTATTGATTTGACCAAATATGAGGTCCTCTTTCAGACAACATGCACTCTCAAACACACTATGGAGAAATGGGTTGTGTGAAATGCTTTAAAAAAATTGAAATTGCTTCCTTATTTGATTAAATTGTTTAATTTACTTGATTAAATTCTTGATGAGACCCCTATCCTATGAGTAGGAATACTACACTCCCCTACCAAAAGTATTGCACAATCCCGAAGGAAGAGAAATGCAAAACCTTGCTTAGTGTCGAGTTTCATTTTTTACTGCCCTGGGTGTAAACGCATTGAAATAAAACAGACAAATTCTTTCCCCTCTTATATCAATTTATTTTTGGTCGCTCACTTCTTGGTTTCTTTACTACTGTAACACTCTCAAGAAATCTTTTTTATTTCCCACAGCTCATGTGTGGCTGCATCTAACTTGGTCAACATCTTTTTTAAAACTAAAGACCACTTTCCCGTAAATATTTTAAAGCGACTCTACTCTCACTTGACAATTTTTTCCCTTAGGCATGGAACTAAGTTTTCTATGGCGACAGCAAAATTGGCAAACTTTTCCCGCCGAAATTTGCTATGAAAAGTGCCTATTTAACCCCTTTGATGCATTCAAATATTTTGTGTCAGCCAAAAATTGACAAAAAGTGCCGCCATTTTCAACAAGATGGTAACATACTTTTATGCTGTACAATTAGCTTATCAGGAGTGCTTTTTGAAACAATCTCTAGCAGCAAACTGATTCATTTGTTAACAATATTTTCATGCTTTGGAAACTCTAGTTCAGCAATATTTACGGACTTTGATTCGTGGGCTTGATAAAAAAACTGAAAAATATCCAAATCTACAAACAAAGCCGATCTTTATTTCTATCTGATCAGGGTAAAGATCTACTGGGTTAAGTTTATCTAATGAGTGGAAGATATAAGGGCTGGGAGGGCAGAAGCCCTGCTAATGAGGCAAAATTCATCTAATTTCAGGATTTTATCAGGCTCTATCTCAGGTTTTATCTCAATGAAGCAATAATATTCGGGCTAGTAGATCCATACTACGGCTAGGCCCATGCAATGTGAGCATTTGCCTGCCTCTGCACAAAGTCGCAGATTTTGAAATTTAAATTTTACTTGGGTAACATTGATAAAGACATAAGAAATAAAACGATCATACCTTGCTGCCCTTAATGCTAGATGGAAATATACAGAGCTTTCAACTGCATCACGTCAGTGCTGTTCCCGCCTAGGCCCGGCAAGTAAATCTTTCAAATCTGCCCTCTGCTCCCGCTCATGTGATCAACTTCTCTGATTGGATGATCTCTGCTCCTCCACAATCACGAAAACACGATGAACAAGCCAAGGGTTAAAAAGCCCGAATGGCTTCGGCAAACAAACCCAAAGTTTCGATATATACTTACTACGGAAATTTATGCTAAAAATTTCTAGGGTCTATAGCCCTACAAATTATTCCCAGGGATATGTCTGGCAGTGGTTTCAAGGCAAGGATGGCTTAGCCATCGGGAGTAACCTGGAGGAAATCATAGAGTCTTTATGAAATGCCAAGAGACTAGAGACATAAAACTGCTCAATAACCTAAATTTCAGGCAGTCATATAAGCGAAAGGGTGGCAAAAAGTGGTAAATGTGCTGCCATGTTACTGTGTTTTGGGTGCCTAATTAAAGGTTTTTTAAAATCTGACCTTGAGGACCTTGGAGCATGGGAATAAATATTTAATGATATTTACTAAATGGATCTGATTTGCTTTTGGGAGACAAAGAGAACATTTTTGGAAACAAGTAGACTTCTGGCAAAAGTTAGTAGGGACATCCAAGGTCTTCTAATACTTGTTCAAACTTCTTCTTTAGGTAGCTGAGTCAAAAAATACATTCTTGATACCCTCTTCAAGATTAATCCTAGGTCTACAGTCAGTTTTTTTGACAGTTTGAATTTCAACAGATAGTTGGCAATTCAGTGTATGGAAGAATCGATATCATAGCCTTAGGAATCGTTTAATAGATATGTGAAATCCAGCACTACTTTAAAGGTATGAAAGTTATCTCTAAAGTAATCTTGTTACCTCTATACCTCTATAATATTAAAGTTTGTCAACATGTCTTAATACCCCTTTTAAGCAAAATTACACCAAATATTATTTTCTTGAGGGCTGTTGGCTACAATGCTTGCAAAGAGTCTTTGTGCACTATGCTAAAATTTTAAATAACAACAGTTTCGAAGCTTTAATCTAATCAATGTAACTCTATCAGCTGGGGTAGGTAATAGGCTTTTCAACCAACATTGTTTTGGGGAGAGGGGGGATATTTCTTAAGGCCAGAAACATTTATTTTATCAAAATCTTTTATCAACTGCAGGGTGCCTCAAGGATTTTTGGCAAGGATTGTAGCCTGTAAATGCAGCAGTGTTCCTTGTGTGAAATTCTATTGTTTAAGATTGTCGCAGGTCTAGAAATGTCTTAAAACTAGTTGATTTCAACTTATCAAATCAACTTTCTTGATTTTTGTGGAATTGACAATGAATGGTGTCATAAATAGTTTGTTTTTGTGGAATAATCTTCTTTGAAAGTCCTCACTTTTTAGATCAAAGCTTAAAAATAAGTTGCAATCTGAAAAATAGAATTTAATAGTAATGCTTAAATCATTATGACTGACACTAGATGGAAATAAAATAAATCACACTTGATCAAAACCAATTAATCTTTCCTGCAAATTTTGTTTACATTTGCATATAATCATTTATCGTTTAAAATTTAAAATCATCATTTAAAATCAAGTTTTGCTACAAAAAGTGATCATAAGACAAAACTTTCTTCTTGCTAAATTCCTGCAAATCTTTGATATAAATTTGAAAGCTTACAAGAATAAAATCAGTCAATAGGTTCCCTTGATCTTCTTGTTAAAGATAATTGAACACAAAAAGCAATACAAAGTGCCACTGCTGAGAAAACCCCAAGGATGATAAAAGCACTACCTGAGAATATGGCAACAGTGCCCCTGTAGATGCTATTTGACATGACATTTCCTAGCAATGCACCAAATGCATCAAGGAATTCAATTGCTGCTAAAATTGATCCATGTGAATCACTTGGTACTTGCTTGGTTATAAGGGATCTCAAACTACTTGTGGCCACACCAATTCCAATGCCACTTAGTGTTACTATGTAAAGCATGGTCTTTGAGGTTGAGAGAGCAAGTAAAATGTAATTCGCTGTCTGACTCAGAAGTCCAATAATTATCATTTTATTGTCAGCTAATTTAAAGCATCTCACTGCAACTTGAGAGAGAAGAACAGCTCCAATACCCCTTGTGACAGAGGAGAAGGCTAGATAATATCCTACTTCTTCAGGTGATAAATTGAATGGTCGATGCTTAATGAATAAGACAGTGATAAATATTTCCCCTGCTAATGCAATTATTACAATCCAAAAAGCAGCAAGGAGAGCTATCAGCAAACCTTTTGACTTCCTCTTCCTTATCACAGAAAATACTGTGTATATATGGTTCAATGGATTCAAGTGATATGCTATGTTGTGTGTTTCTTTTGTCCTTCTTTGCCTCCCTTTGCAAATTATTGGTATTTCTTCTTCTTCATTACTCTCACTCCCATTACTGTCATTCTCACTTCTTTCTGAAGATGCAACACTTTCAGGAGTAGAGACATCATTCTCATCACTTCTTGAAACATTTTTAGGATTTGGTAAGAAGAAGGCCACATTAACAAACATAAGAGCACTCATTGACAGTGTAGAAATGAAAACTGCCCCGAAACCATAACTTTGAAGCAAAAATCCACTAGCAAGCCCAGCAGGAGCACCGCTAAAAAACATAATGCCTTCAATGATTGCCATTCTCATTGTGCGTTTTGAGCTTTTCTCTGTAATATCAGCCATATATGAGTAAGCAATTGCATAAGCCCCTTGAAAATCTCCAAAAATTGACGTTGTTATTGCACCTATTACGAGATATGCTGGGGGACTTGAAAAGAACTTTGTAGAATTCAGCAGATAGACAATACTCTGAAGGCCAAAGAAAATTGGTGGAATCAATATGGCTCGGTTGCGACCAATTTTATCTGCAATAGGACCCCAAATTAGTACAGTGAACATGCTTGGTAACAGCGTCGCTAAAAGTAGAATCAGGACCCACATTGAAGATGCTTCTTGAACAGTGTCTTGTTCGTGTTGATACCGTGAGCTTGTTAATTGTTTGCAGATAGTGGAGTTATACTTTCCAAGGCAGACTTTCTCCAGTACGAGCTGTGGAATCGTGACTATATTTACAGTAAATATGAAATTTAGCAACATAACATATGGCTCCGTTGTTATAAAGGACATATTGCCACTCGGTATAAAAGTATTTTCTTTCCCGGACGCAGAATCAACTTCCTCACTCGCTAATCTATTGCTGCAAAAAATTTTGTAAGATTTTAAAGCTTGTCTCGTTCTCGATTGATCTTAAACTTAAACGAGGAAACTTAAACGAGGCCCAAACAATGCAATAATTTCGAACGAAAGTGAATTCCATTAAATATGAAATTATATGAAATTACTTTCTCCCATTGAAAATTATTTGACATGAAACACTCTCAGATTTTTGTATTATTTTTCCCAGCCCTTAACTAGATATCTAATTTTAGCATAATATTAGGCAAGATCATAGGGTTTATCCATAAAGATGGATTTATCCTAGGGTTTTTCAAGATTTCGGAAGTACTCCAATCTCTAATTTCTTTAGAAAACCGCTCGACATTTGACCCTTCTTTCTATCTTTACGTTTAATGAATGAAGCATAGCTTGGATTATGCATTACTTTTTCACTTCTCAAAATCATGAGTTACCAACTGAAACAAGTAGAACTTTTATGACCTCAAAGTTTATTAGGATTACGAGTTTGCGAAACGAGTTTTTGGATTCCATTAGGATTAGGGGGTTGCAAAAATGTTTCCTTGTTGGTATATTCCTAGCATTCCAAATTTCTCTCAATTTCTAATGAAAAAGCACTAACCGAGCTTTCTTCCCGTGCACAATAACAAAATTTATGTATACCTATCGTAAACTCAAGTTTCTTGATCAACTGTTCTAGTAAATGAGCCTTCAAGGAGCTATTCTCATTTTTGAAGAACAAAATCTTGACCATGATTCCGTGCACGTTTATGGGGTTTCCAAGGCAGAAATCAACAATTAGCGATATCAAAAAGATGTTAAATTATGGTAAATCATTCTCTATTTGAGTTAATGATTCTGTTCTGAATAAAATAGAATAGTTAAATTTATCTATCGATGCAGTAGTTAAAGAAAGACATCCAGTAGACATTTTTCCAAAGAGCTATTTCACTTAATCGGCTTCAATTTTTTTGTTTTGATATTAGCAGTTTTTCATCGCTGAAAATAACCGTGAAGGGGTTAAAAAATCATGTCTTTTTGTAAAACTCGTTGTTCTTAAGCTCGAAAATTTTCATAAAATCGAAGATTTTGAATTTTTTTTGATATCTCTAAAAATTGTTTACCTTAAACACAGAATTGGCTTACTTATATTGAAAATTCAACAGAGCAACTCCCAAGCTTCCAAAAATTTTTTTAAACCGAATCAACAATCAGAAACATTCATTTCAAGAGGCAGCAGAAAAATGAATAAGTCCTCACATTTTCCAGTGTAGTAGAATGAAATCTCTTGCATAAATTCAAACTTATCACTCGAAGAATCACTTTCTCTCAACTCCTAACAAACTGTGTCTGTAATTTACTGTATATATATACATTTGTTATATACGTTTCCTCTGAAAGAGAGATATCGGTAAGCTGGCTCGTAATATTTCATCGGTCCTGGAGAGTTAATGGGTTCTTTTATGCAAAGCTGATATAAAAAGAATTAATACTTTCCATGACTTCCCTTTATACATCAAAAATTTTTGGTATTTGCAAAGTTTTAACAATAGGCCAATAACCGAGGACATCATTGGAGGCAAGTCGTCTATAAACACTACAGATTCCCTTTGAGTACTGGCTGTTAGATTCAGAAAATTTAACGTTTATCCCCCCCCCTTCTCCTTGCAAATTTCCTACAGGTAGGCCAGATTCCACTCTATATTTCTATGATGTAAATAATGACAATTTCTTCATGTTTAATTCAATAATTAATATGGAAAATTATTTCAACAATAACATATACCATTCATCATCATTGGTATTATTCAAAGATTTTATTTTTTAATCCCATTTCTTTGAGTGTCAAAGCCACATTTCACACTGATGCTCCACATCAAGAGATTATACCTTGCAAGACGTATTTAGCAGTGAGCAAAAAAAACAAAGTTGAGTAGCTGAACTTGATTTTTATTTATATGCAGCTTATTCCTTAAAATGACATTACATCTAAACAATTATTTAATACACGAAAGCAGCTATGATAGCCCACTTTTGCAAAGCTGAATGCTCGTATCTTGAAAAAAAAGTTAAAATAAACATTAATTGTCAAAATGCCTCACTATTTTACAAGGAACTTTGAAAATGATTCCCTTTCAAATTCTTACAAAGCAGCTAATTTCAGCAAGGCAAACGTGGGTTTGTACAAGTTAGGATAATTGCGTAAAAAGCATGTAACAAAGAGTATAGCTAATCATATCTTATGAAGTCTTATTCTTAGAGTTTTTAAAACAATAAATCGTAGAAATTGAAGGGGAAATCGTTTCTTTCATAATCTTCCTTTTTTCCCTTGTAGTCTCCATCACCACTAGCAAAATCGTCCTTGTCTTCGTCTTCCCCTTTAAAAAACTTTGACCTACAAGAAAAGAGATCAACCATTACAGCTAGGCCTTTGAAAACTGAAGTAGATGTGACGCTAACAAAAGTAAGAAGAATTACCTGATTCCTCATCGCCAATTCCGCAATGGCCGATATAGTGCTCAACGTTTTGATTTTTCATAAACATTTCTGGTCAAAAAAGGTCAAGGCAAGGTTAGCAAGCTCACAAAGTTCCTACTTGATGAAGACTTGTAAATGCTAACAAGATTTTAAAAAATCCTATCACGGTAGTTCTTTAAAGATATCTTGCGAAAAAAAACAGGAATATTTTGTCCTTATAAACAAAGACATATTCAACTACTGGGTAGGTAAAGGTCACACGGCCTCAAACCATTCTGATTCAGTCAGTGAATGAAGTTTAAGTATACTGTATATGATATATACCAACCAAAGTGATGGGCTGAACAATGAATTTCGTATAAATTTCATTCCATACTTTTTCATATTCATTTTTGCTGGAACTGGCTTAGTCATACCTCGGAAGGGCTCGTTTTAGGATAGGATTTGACCACTGGAAAGTCTAATGCCCTTCCCGACACTAACGGTTTGTTGCCTCATGCGATAAGAACTAGCACTCTAACCGGTTTGGTTCCGAGTTGGTCATTTTACTTTCTGATTGCTGATCCTCTTTCTAAACATTATATAAGGTTTTGATATTAAGGCCGTAAAGGACGCAAATGTTTTACCTGTTTTTGCAAGGGCAGTTGCATTCAATTGGCAGACTGACTGGCAACAAGTGGTCAGTGGCAGTGGCCAGTGTGAGTGGCTGTCCTGACACCAGCTGACTATGCAGTTGTGAAGATTCATTCTTTGCAACACAGATAACTGGAGCTTTCAGGTCTTCCTTTGTTTTTGTGGTGCATTTGGTCTGGCATTGGGGCACTCTTATTTTGGTTAGGCAGTACTTGTTCTGTTGCTCAACCTTGACGAAATCACGTTTGAAGTTGCATTCTATGAAAGAGCACGATTGTATGTTAAAACAATATCAAAGACGCTAACGAGTGGCTGTAGTTGATATGCTTCTCAAATCCAAATGAAAAATATATGGCTTCGATGCTTCCTCGTAGATTTTGCATTTGAGTGTAGGACCAAAAATGTAAAAGCATCAAAAATAAGAAAATGTACCCTACCTCCCTTAGCGCATTTTCTTCCTGGGACAATCCAGCTGTTCCCAAAGTGGCGTTCTTCATAGAATGCAAGCTCTGGATCGTACAGTTTTGGTTTCTGTACGTCACGGATTAGCTTTCCTTCTGGTGTTCTGAACTCAAACCTTTGCTCCCCGTTGAAGTTTCCGCACATTCCGCAAACTTTGCCAAACAGCATTGGGCCAACAGTGGTGTGAACCTGAGAAATTTTATAAGAAGTAAGAATGACTTTGTTCGTTACATCTGTTACTGAAAATCCAAACATCTCACTTCCTAGTGAGGTAGATTTTCAAGACCGACTAAAAGTAGACGATAGTATTAATAAAATAGGTACAAATTATAACCGCTCACTTACTGAGTAGCCATTTCGCAGTAAAACAACAAGTCCTGTTTGTCGATGCCACAGAGACATTGATTTGATTTCGGGTTCCCAAACAATGACTAAGCATGGTTTTCCTTCTTTCTGAATCTCGTATTTATCATCTGCCAAAGATATCTGTTTGCCATTTATCTGAATAAATTGAAGAAAAACCATTTATAAAAGTGAACGACATTGGAATTGATTGAATATTGCAGAAAATCGTAAACTAGGGTTCCTTGGCATCGTGTAGATCAAGGGACAAAAATTGCTTTCACTGGGGAAGTTACATGGAATAGAGAGGTGAAGAATTTCTTCATAAAATCCTTACTGCCGAATTATGATATAGATTAAAGGCATTGAGTCATGGTAAATAGAACTTCTCTATAGGGAGTCATTTGGTTTCAGCGTGATCGCTGCTGTTTCATGTGATATTTGCATCCGTTGGTGACAACTTGCTATTGATGGAAATTGTTTTGTCAATCAGTACGAGGTGAGTTCATGTGACCAGTTCCAGGTCAACCAATAGCATGGCATTCATGAAAATCATGACTCAGCGGATTTTGGCACTTAGGGTATACCCAATCCATTTTATCACGACTCGATGCCTTTAAAGAAGCAATCTCATAATAAAGTTATCGATTCTCTTGTAGCAATGATACCTTTACAATTGGCTGGTCAGTGTATTGTTTGCCAGGAATAAATTCAATCTCGTAGGTATCAACAAGAGTGGTGACTTTCTTGCTCAATGATCCCTCTGGTCCAGACGTAGCTGCCAAAACCATCAACTGTGTCATGTTTCTGTAGCAGCTGCGCATGAGCACGTGGTCACAACCTCGTTTCATTGTATAATTGTAAACCTTCTTATCATAGGTAATGAAGGTAGAGTTTCTCTGACGGCACCAAGCTGAAAGCAAAATAAGGAATAATTGAATTTATGCCTCTGCCTGAGCGAGTGCAGATTGGTGTAAAAGATGTAACAAGCCTTTCTTCTAAAATCACTACCATAAGGCGAAGAACAAACAAATATTTCCATAAAAATTTGGAGCAGTTTACCTGTGTTTCCGCCCCAAGTGAGCTTAGTTACAACTGGGATGTGTTTAGATCCTTTTGGGAGACTGTTTGCAAAGGAATTCATCTTGATTTTTTCCCAAACCCAAACTTCAGTTGGTGAGACAATTTTGTAAGTCAAAGTATCATTGCTTGTAAGTAGATATTGCAAGTAGGTTGTGCCATTGATGGTGGCATTGAAGTTCCATCGGGTCAGGTTCTGATATCCCGTCATGTTGCTGTACCAGTAGTCACTGGAGTATCGCAAGATTGGTCTCATAACAAAGAGATCTGTGTACCACAAAGCTTGGCGCCAGAAACTAGGAATGCCTTCAGTGGTGAAGTTGTATCGGAAGGCCATTTGGTGACGTGGAAGCTGCTTTGGTGCGAGGAAGTCGGCCTAAAAAGCAAGTTTCATTGCTTACAATTCACTCTGACAAAGATACAGATTGAAATATTGAAGCATTTGCTCAAATATGATCTATATAAAGATATTTTTCAGTCAAATTAAAAAACTTACGCCCTGATATATTAGCTAGAAAGTAACATCTAAGACAGTAAATGAAATACACATACTTTGAGATGGACCTTCTTGCATTCCTTGTCGTCAACACTGACTCTTAGTGAGTAATTGTCAGGTTGGAACTGCTCATCATAGCAAAGTTTCTTCATTCTCAAGAGCATTGGATCAGATGGGGTAACTTTCAGCTGGAACTTATTGTCTGTTCGTCGGAAGTTGACATTTGCAGTGATGGTTTTGGTTGTTCCAGTCAATCTTGTGACAGATTTGTATGTCCATTCAGTTGTTGTGTTCTTGACCAAGGTTATACGAGTGTCGATAGAAGAAACTTTGGTGGTGTTATCGGGTCTGCAAGTTACTCTGAACTTTGATGGACTGCATAACAAGCTAATTGGTGAGCGGGCAATGCTTACTGGGAAGTATCCGTGCAAGCAAAGGTTGAAGCCCCATGGCTGGCCAATGCAGGAGCGCTGTGTTGCCAAAAAAGTAAGTTACTATCTTGAATCGTAGCAAGAGGATCAAACAAGCCAGAAAATATATGAAACATTAGGACAGAACACTAAAAAATATTAAAGATGAATGAATGCAAAAAATATCTTACGTTCGAGTACGAGTATCTGTCGAGCAGGGTTGTAAAGTTTGTTTGACGTTCAGTGGTGAAGTTCAGTGCTTGTTGTCTCTTGGGAGTTACGCAGACTTTAGGGGCATCTGTCAGTGCAAGGTAGGCCATTCTCACATACTGCTTTGAAGGTTCAATCTGCAAAAAAGCAAATGCATTATAAATACTCCATTAGACGAGCCGAGGTTGTGATTAAAAAGAAAAGGCTTTTCTAATATGCATTTTTCATCATCTATGGCATGAAAGTAGCGCTAGCTTACCAGTTCTCTTTCAATGTACTCTTCTCCAGTGATAACAACTTGCTCTTGCATAAACAGGCTTCCTGCATTTTTGATTTCCTGTATTTCATCTGATGATGGCAATCCCCAGCCTTCTGGAACCTTCTCTAAATGCACGAGAGCTTTGATCAATGTGTTTTGCAAGTTCTCATAATCTACAATGAAGTATTTTCCATTTGAGGTTGGCTTCACGAACAGGCATGGCGACTTCTTTGACATGACAACGTAACCCTGGCCTGGTACATACAGGCTGATGATTCTTCGGTTGACTCCGTGGAAAATAACTTTGAACTTGAATGGCTGTGGTTTCAAGACGATTTTGCCATCTTGCACAGACAAGTACTTGCCAGTGGTTGTTCGAATGATCCATTCTTCTGCTCTGCAATGGCCTTCACAGGGTTGCGTGACATTGATGATTTGGACCTTGGTATTGGAAAAGCAACATTACTTTTGATTGATATGGGAGAAAAAGAATGCTCAACAAAATTAATCAAAACTAACTTTGTTATTTTGCTATTCATTTAATATAAAAGCATAATTGAATTTTGTCCTTACCCTGCCAAATTGATCTGGTTCGAAATCCAACTTTCGCATTGGTTCCTTGGTTGTCTTGATGTAATGATATGCTTCCATGTTGAAGAAAAACACTTCCCTCATATCCTTTGGCATTTGAATGTGCTCATTGTATTCTCCAGTTTTGAAGTTATACTTCATGGAGCCTTCCATATGTGTTGACATATTCATGACTTTCCTGCACTGAGCACCAACTTCGATGAATGGCAGGCTATACTTTATTGTTCCTCTGACTTCAGCAAGAGAGCTATAAGAAGTCAAGTTTGTTTTTAATCAAATGGGTTCCTGCATTGTTTAAACAAGTGAACTTGATTTTCATCATTGAACATGCATCAAAAGAAGTAAGAATGTGCTTTATTTTCCACGTGTAAAATTTGCTAGTTCGAATTTCTTTAAAAAGACATCTTTGATCTATATCTATTGTACAGAATGGGCTTTGCGATTACTGTCAAAAAGATAAACAGCTGTAGAACATCTTACCTTACTTGCTGGATTCCAGAAATTTTGATTTCTTGCAATTTTTTACGGATCAGAGAGATTGGTGACTTGATTTCAGGGGTTGTTTCAAGTTTAATGTTGGTTCGCAAATATGGCAGAGCCATTGATGTCATGTTGAAAACCAATGGGACACCACAAAGTGATGGGACTCGGTAAATAGTTTCAACCACCATGAAGGGCTGCGAGGGAAACAAATGAAATAAAGATGCAAAAATCTTGCAAAAGGTCAGTAGCTATACACGATGGGCTACAGTAAAAAGGTCTCTGTGTAAAGAAAAAATCCAAAGAAACGAATTCTGTTTAAAGATAAAAGTCTTTTGAAGAAGAAGATAGAAATAATTAGTGAGTACCTGTGACCACAACCAGGTTTTTCCTTCCTTCAACTGCTTGAATACCTCAAGTATCTGGGGTAGGTGCGAGTACAGCTGCTCAGTAAAGTCACTAGTCTTGTTCAATGTGATGTTTTGAACACTGACCAACTTATCGAATAGCCTCAATCGTCCTTCATAAAGAAGTTCCTCTGGGTCTTTTGGAACATGGAAAGTCTGAAAAAGAACTTTTTAAACTCAAACACATTTTACAGGAAGTACAAAGAATTAAATTAGGCTAGAAATTCAGTATACAAAAAACCGTTCGATTTCAATCTAAATGCTATTCATTTTCAGTTTTTTTATAAATCACTTTTTTACTTGTGTTGTGAGACAGTCAGAACAGCGTGTTGCGAATCATGGGCTATAGAGCAGAACTTGCACAACGTTGGGTAATCGTCACCGTTGTAGAGTAAAGATGGAAATTGTAGATATAGAAAGAAACTACCCTTTGGGTAATATCATAAATCTTCTTCTTGATTTCGCGCAGCTCTTCTGGTTGTGGCTGGATGTATTCTTGCATTGAATGGATGAGCCAGTTTATATAGTCCTGGATGCCTTGCATGTACATTACAGACTAGGATAAAATGGTACTTCAATTAACACTAAGATTTGTAACAACTTGATATTTTTCTTTGAATGAGCAAACCAAAACATAAGCTGACACCGAATATCTTTTTGATACAACTGCGGCTGCCATGATAAAAAATAATTAGCAAGAAGTCCTAAACAGCCAAAAAACACCATTGCATCATTGACAAGTCAAAGAAAATATATGTAAACATTTGAAGCATCTTTGGCATGAAGCCTCATCCACAAAAGGGTGAAATGCCCTCTCCACCAGTATGCTGATGTATTAAGAGATTATAGTGCTCTCTAGAGATTTGAGGACGCTTATAAAATCATTTTCTAAGCAGTCTATAAGCAACATGTAGACATCTTTGAGACACTTGAGAAATTTATCCAGACATCTTTCCTCTACAAAAATAGGTGAGCCTCATCAATTCCAGAAAGACGATCCAGCTGAATTTAAATTAATGTGCGAATGACAATCTTCTGGCACTTTCTGACAAGATATCGAGCCTCGGTTATTTGAAATAAAAAAGAGACCTTCAGTACTTCTGGTTCACAGATAGTCCACCCAAAAAGGCCAAGAAGGACTGGTGAAAGACAAAAATGGTTTAAAACCATTTGTACTTGAATATACTGGGCCCTACGTGAATCGTGCCTATGTGATAGGAGCTTATTTCTACTTACATCAAAAACCTCAAACTTCCTTCCGAGAATCGATGCTCTTAGTCTAGCTTGAGAGTATCTGGGGATGTAGCTGTTGTTGTTTGCAATCCAACTTCCTTCAAGTTCGCTGGCAAGGTTGAGCCTTTGGTTTTCCAGTTGGCCGTTCATGTGAAGACTGCGGTACTGTGCCATTTGAGAAGGCAAGTACGACTTGGTGTAGAGTTTCAGGACTGATTTGCATGTGTGACGACTGAAAATTGATTTTAAATAATGAAGTAAGGTCTCTAAAGACAAGGTTTGAGCAGAGTGATTTAGATATACAACGATAAAATAAACTCAAAACTTTGCAAGAATATTTTAAACGTTTTCTACAATTGAGATACCTAGCGATTGGTTTGTTATGTTTTGAATACAAAAGACATCAAGATGATTATCAAAAACGTAAAACTTACATAGTTATGTTATATTTGATCACTGATTCACTGCATTGAGTGAACAATTCATGGGCAAATTTCCTGATGTTCAAGCTTGGCTCAACATAGATCTGGCGGGCACAAAGCTGGATAAGGTGTGGATGGGGGTTCTCCATTATTACCGAGAGAGCAAGAGTGCGCATCTGGCTGTCGTATTTGAAATCACGGAACAGCCTTAAGAGCACAATTTGCACCCTTCTTGGTGACTGTCTGATAATTGGCCTGAGACAGTTAATGGCGTGCATTTTGACACTGGTTGGCACTTCGGGATGGAAGATGATGCTTTCAAGGGCAGCCAAGTAGGATGGTCGTCCATGATTCTCAGCAATCGACACAACAGTGTGAACAGTAAGGCCCTTGATTGGCTGGCAGTTTTCAATATTCTGGTAGCATTCTGGCTTAGATATCTTTTGCAAGGCGTCCCTGATTGCGTTCTCAATCCATGAAGTGCAGATTGGGTTCACTTTGCAGTATCCTTGGGCAATGTTGCTTGAGGTGATCAGGCAAGCTTTTTTAAGTTGTGCATTGTTGGAAATTTTTGGTATGCTGCAAAACTTTTCCATTTTATCGACAATTGAACGTGTGGGCTGACCAACAAAACTTATTCCTATCAAATAGGATGTAATGTGCTCGTCTGTAAGCTTTTCCACTTTTGTTCGCATGAACTCCAGGCATGTCTCTGTATGACACATCCTCATACTACGTACTAACCAGCTTCTGTTGATAAGACAAAAACATTAATTGAAATGTTAGTAAGAAACGAATGTTTAGAAATATAACATATTGCAATTTGTGGCGGCTAAATGACGGTAACAAAGGTGATTGTTTGAACACTTCTTCTCTCATTCATGTTTGAGCTATATCGCAACTGCACACCTCTGGAAATATATGCAGTATAGAAACCCAAACATGACATATCAAATCGTCTTGCAAGCAAAAGTAAACGTACAGTAGCAGCTAGTCGCTTGATAATCTAATCTTATTGTATCAAAAATGATGACAGTAGTGTTGACAAATTTTTAACTTGAAATACTTCTTAATTTTACAAATTTTATAATACTTTTAAAATAACGTCAACTAGATGTTATGGCAGTGGGCTGATGAGAAAAGTTTAACACTTAACGAATATATTTTCAAACTTAAATTGATTCAAACAATAATCTATATAATTTTTATTCATCAAGGTTACTTGAGCGAAAGATGGTGATATAGGCATCAATAGGCTTAGACTAATAAGAAATCCAATGAAAATTTATTGCAAAATCACATATCGAGATACCCTTAGAATAAACAAAAAGATAAGGAATTTACAAACCTGGAGTCTGCATCTGCACACTTTGCAAACACTCCAGACAACGTGACGAGATCACACATTCTCAGATTGTTGACAACTTGCATGAAAATGGTTGAGATTTCAGGCTGAAGGATTACACTCTGGACTGGCTTTCCCTTTGGAATCAATGATGAGAATCTTTTGATAGCGTTGCAGATGTAGGTTGCTTTGTTGTCCCGTTCGCTCTGTGAAAGTGGTGGGATAACCTCTGGCTTGTGAAAGGATGGCATTTCCATCATTAGTTTTCCACGTTGGTTCCATGCTGTATCAAAGAATATTAGAACCTCTTCAAATCACATGAAATTCAGTAGTTCGTTAAAGAGTACAAGAGTATTCAAAAATCAGATAAACATTGAAAATACGCTTGAGAAATTTTCTTAAACTTGACAAAATTCGAAATGAAAAGTCTGCAACTGGTAGTGCACTAGCTCTAAAAAATCTGATGTTATTCTCACCAAGATGATGTGGGTATTCGCTTTCAAAATGGCTGACACCTTCTTTCAAGAGAACAAGTCTTTGAACCGATTCAGTTGGGATCCCCTCTTCTTGTTTGGAGAATGGGTATAGAACATAGACACCCTTGGCAGTGACACCTTCAATCTTGAATTGGGTTTCAGTTCCAGTTATATTGTACTTGATCGTTGCTGTTGTCTTCAGTGGGTTCTAAAGCATAAAACAGACGAACAAATGTCATTCATATTACACGTGCGCTCTAACCAAAGCTCATTCTTATCAATGTGTAGAAAAAAATTTGCGATATAAGTATAGATTAATTTTCAATGATAAAATAAGATGGCATATCAACAATACCCTAATGTTGCGAAATATTAAGAAAAGACTAGTTAAAAGTATCTCAACAAATAGAAATTTAAGTGCAAAGAAACATAATACTAACCGAGTCCTGATCTGGGTTGGTTCCTTGCACATTTTTGTTATAAACGTCATAGTTCAAACCAGTGCAGTTCTCAAAATCAATGGTCTTTGTGAAATTCATTCCAATTCTTTTTCTGACTTGGCGAGCATCAACAACTTCAAAGTACTTGTGGCTGTAGGATGTCTGACAGATACCAAGAATTGTGGCCTGAAAGTAAAAATGTCTTTAAAAAGAATTCTGACCAGCATGGCCTTCGGAAGCGAGGGGGAGCCTCTTGATAATCTCTCAATTGTTAGAAACTTCCTTGAAAGAGAGTTCTGAATAAGAAGCAACTAATCTCTAGAAATTTGAGTTTCGTTTCGACGACCTTGCATTCTGTTGCTTATAATATTTTGCATCAAATTCTGTTGATTGCACATGATGATTATTTGGAAACAAGGAAATAAAGAGATTTTGATAAGGATCTTTTGAAGTTTTACATGGAGAGTTTTCGACATATCTAATCAAGAACTTAGATTTCTTCAACTTTTTTGGTAGAGCATTCCATAGAGAAAAACATGAGACAATCGAATTTATTATCAGAATATAAAATAACCCACCTCTTCTTTGTTGAAGAAATCTTTGAGACCGGTCTCTTGATCCTTGCCTTGGACATCAACGCTCAACATATTGAGGATACCTTTCTTTATATTTACAGACCAGGATGGGTCGTCTTCTGGTGCAAAGACTTGCTGTACCAGTCCGTTGGTGTAGCCAAATTTGATTGGCTTCATCAGGTGTGGGCGGCTCACTTTGGTGCTGAATTCTGAAAACCTTTCATTTACCCCACTCATGTTTTTGGGGTCTGAAAGGCATTCGTAGATGCTGATGTCCTTGACCTACAGAACGAAAAAAGGCTTTGGATTATATTTATTGCAGTAAATGCAACGACTTGCCTAAAACACAGGTTGTCATCCTTCAAGCAATGTTGTTACGTATGACATATAGTGCCTCATTATTGTGTAACTGATTCCAATAAGAGTTAACTCTGCAGCTACTATGAAAAATTGCTTATTTGTATTCAATAAACGCTCAAGCAAAAAGGCGTGCTAAGGGCAAGGGTTATAGTTTGCTATCCGAAAATACCAATCCTGGCTTACATTTATTTCGAAACAGTGAATCGAAAAACTCTCTACACATGACGCCATAAATTTCAAAAATTTCAAAAAAGGTTCTGTAAAGACAATTTTGGGATTTTCGATTTGTAGTAATTGTTTTAGTGTAGTAGTATTTTGAATAACTGGGTTAGCATTAAAACAGTCTTGAAAAACGCAACTATCCTTGAAGCAGCTTATACTATTAAACAGATTCAAATAAACCTCTTGCAAAACAAACTACTTTAAATTGCTAATGTAATTTGGTATATCTTAATAAAAACTACCGTCAGAATAGCTTTTTCATTCTTCATGATGTGCAGCTCAACTGTTCCGTTGATATGGATCTTTGCCACGTGTTTCTCCAAATTTGGAACAGCCGAAGGGTACAGGAATGCTTCGTAGTGATAAACATACTTTCCTTGCTCTTTGTAACCACCTGCCAGATAAAAGAGCGATTGTGAGCGTTTTCTTTAACATGTACTTTTATCATATAAAAAAGCAAATAACAAATCAAATTTTGCATTTTTCTTCAGAGAAACGAGACCTTAAATTATAATTCCGCTGCTGATAACCCCAATTCCATGGCAATACGAGACATTTTTTAGGCTCATTCTGATTATTGGCTTTATATACTTATGAGACGAACATTGCAGGCCTGAATACAGAACTAAATTCAACACGAACGAGAACCATTTATACAAATAGTTGTAGAGAAGGCTAAAGCGGTGGTGAGTTGCGGGCTTATTGGGCTTAGCTCCGAAATAATTTCAAAATTTATTTTAAACAAAACTGTGAAACAACCTGGTCTTGGTTTTTAGCGTATTTGATCACTAGAACATTTAACCCCCAAATCTGTTATGTGCTAGGCACTTTCTAAATGTTTATCTCCATCCTTTCAGGCCCTCTTCGAACTTAAACCATCTTTTGAAGAGGATTCACCTCATAACTAAGAATTTTTTACTTGTTAGTTAGTTATTGAGCCTTTGAAAGTGTTTTGTATTCTTTCTCTGCTTTATCTAATGCTGTACTTAATTCCATTTCGGAAGATAACCAAGAATGCGACATTAAGCATGTCCAAATCATTTTTATAACAAACCTATAGTATATAAATTTAGATAAATATTCTAGACAGCATTGCAAGAAAACTTTTACGTGTTGACAATAATTGTGGCTGTATTTCATTTCAAAAATCTAAGATTCGTCAAAGGATGAAATGCGGAAAGGGCCATGTCAAGAAAAAAATTGTCCGTCCTATTCTATTCAGAATTAGCTGGACAAGCCTTGAAACTGGAGGAAGGCCTTCAAGATCCGAAGCATTTGGTCTTTGGGCAACGTTCGTCAGACTCGAGACGTTCCCAAAAAATACTTCTATCTGCGTACGTATAGTAACTCGACCCAATAAAAAAGTTTTTCGACATCTTGGGCGACTGTCTTTAAAAGTGGTTTGATCAAAAGACAACGATTCCGCAACACTCCAAAAATTAACTAGAGATTTAGAGATCTCTTGACAAATTTTCTTAAAGCAGCAATGAATGGAGAAAACCCGAGAAAATATTTTAATTAAAGGCAAACAAAGTAAAACAGTAAAACAAATCAACTCACCATAGATGCTGTAGCTACGCTCAGCGGCTGTGAAGATAGAAAGGCTGGTTTTAGATACAAGTCACTTGTTAGTAAACTATGATCAAGATTTGTTATTTTCTCATTCGTAATAGTGTGACAATGACACCCAAAATTTAAGTTACGATGGAGAGGGCATAAAGGCGTAAGGCATAAAATCTTCTAGGAAAATAGATAAAGGGTTTTTGATTCAAATATCCTAATCTTAATGGTCTTGATAATTTGCTCTGCAAGGGATACATTAGTTTATGCTACTAGAATAAACTTCTCTGATTTGAGATAATCTAGAATCCACAAAGAAGTAAATAGCTGTAATTCCACTACTTTTCGGGGTTCTCCAAAAATAGCTGGAAACACATTATTCTCTATAAAGTCTCATAAAGTATGCATAAAAGGTATGATTTTATGACAATAATTAAGTACGTACAATCAATATAAGAAAAAATATTAAATGAGAAAAGTGAAATTGAACTAACCAGCCAAGGCGATGCAGGAGAGAAGGACCAGAAACTTCATGTTGACTTTTTGGTCTTTCGTCCAAAGACGTTGACTTTCCTTTGCAGCTTTGTCCTTTTATGCCATTTGACGGACAAAACTTTTGAGGAACAATAGACAGGGGTATTTTCTCCAACACAGCTTGCCAATCACATGTCTATTCCAGTGGGACATCATGGTATGCTCTGTCACGGGGTTACATGTCGAAACACGAAACACGAAACACGAAACACCGAGCGATCTTTTATGAGAGACAACCATTAAAATAAAAAAGCAGACATAGTGCAATCTTTATATCAAAAAGAAAAATACCCATTTGTATTATCCATTACTTTCTCGATTGCTCTACATTTAAGTGTTGCAAAAATGATTTTAAAAATCATAATTTTCCTCGCATACTCGTCGTGGTTGAGAGAATTCCAATACCATCTTAATCATAGCTACATGCTATCAACAATTATTTGTCGTTTGCAAGCAGAAGATTGAATTTAAAAAGAGATAAACCTCTAACTTCATTCCATTTTTGTAATAGACAGCCTGTTGGCTTTGAAAGCTCTATCACTTTATTGCAAGCTTGCTTCCATTCCAAAAATAACAGTCTATAAATGTCTCCCCTGAAATAAATTGATTTTTTCACAATCAGTACTGGTATTTCAACATATCCATTAATTATTTCCCTAAGTGATATCAGACCTCACTATTCTAATAGTGTTTTGCTTTATTTGAGATTATGTTGGAAAAACTCAATACATGCCAAAAAATCGCGTGGAATGAAATGTACAAAGTATGCACAACAAGGTATGGGAAAATCGGTATGTTACCCCCTGCAGAAAGCAAAGAGGAGCCTGTATGAATGGAAATTGTGGGGAATATAAGCAAGAGAAAATTTCTTCACGTTGTTGAAAAAATAGAACAATTTGACCCCATTCAAAGATTAGCTGCCATGGAAGGAAAAACAGATAGCAGAATTGCAGTATCTGGCTGAAGACAGCGATAATTGAAAAGAAAGAAAAATGTGTCATCAACCAGAAACTTTCTTCCTTGTTTATTTTTAGCCGCTCTTGTTCCATTCGATTTGACCGCCAGCCGTACGCTTTCATTTGGCTATATGAAAGATTTAACGCAATATCTGAGAATTTATGAAAAACGCTGTGCCGCTAGAAACTTACAGTGTGCATAAAATGCATTGAATAGCCAGCCAATAGTAAATTAATTTTCTTCAAAAATACCAAATTGATGTTTCGGTCAACTTTCTCATATAAATACAGGAGACTGCTAAATCAAAAAGGCGGGGGGGGGGGCATTTTACTTTTCTGCTTAGAGCGGTTGATTTATTTGAGAGGGCAAGAAGCTAATAGGTAGGCAAATTCAATAAAGCTGAGCTGGAGGTCACTATTGAGGTAGAGAGTTCATTAGTGACCTCCCTGGTTATTTTCTATGCAGGAAAAACCTGATAGGGAGGTGGATGATAAGAGAGTCCAGGAGTTTAGTTAAGGCCACCACTGGTTGGCGGCAAGAAAAAACTGAAACTATGACATTCTACGGATACAAATGACTTGAAAATCAGGGCCAGCAAAACCAGGGGCTGGGGGGCCGGGGGGCAATGGCCCCCATTTTTTTGCAGAGCTAAAGAGAAATTTTAAGCAAAAGTGGAAGCAAATTGAGTATATGATTCTGCCAGTAACTTTGCCTAGTATTCTCTTAAATGTGTTCTTAGCTTTACCTTGGTTGCTATGTCTTTACAATAGAAGACATACATAAAATTGAATATGGGAATTAGATCGAAGAAATCGGTCATTGTCTAAGTATTACATTCCATTCCTACTATGAAAGAGAAAATATCGACGCAATTATAAATTATATTTAAAGTCATTTTGACAAGCCCAGTTTGAAGGTATTTCAAATTTTTGTTAAAGCACTTAATTTCCGAAAAAGTTCAAAGTTATATCTTTACTGTACAAAATTGCTTAACTTTTTATTTTTAGTTGATAGTTCTTCTGTTGATATTTCAACGTTAATGCATTTTATTAATCCGTGTTTCATTTATTTTTCTCCCCCATCTTATTTCGGGTACTTTTAAAATCTAAAAAAGGCTTCATCACGAGCTATGGGATGGTGGTTATTCTAAAGCTTTGCAAAACTTTTCTTTTTGAAGTCAACATCACAATAGACGCGACTAAGCGACACCTTCAGTCAAAATTCATTTTAGATACAGTTTCTGGCCATCACTAAGACACCATAATTCTGGAATTTGTCTTGCCGCCAACCAATTTGCCTTTCCTAATCCCTTTCAATACTTTAATATTTTGGCCCCTCCACTTTCAATTACGTTTCGCCGGCCTTGACTGCCCCTCTTTTGACGAGGAATGAAGGGATCTTCTCCCTGGAGTTTTTGCACTACTGCGACCATTTGGATATACCAATCCTTCAAGCAATATTCTTATTGAGCTATTACTGTATGGTGTTAAAGACTCACCCAATGAAATTGATAGAAATATATTACAATCAATCCGTAAAACTGGGCGACTTGCTTAAGATCGTTCCTAACTTGCCACATGCCATCACCTTAAATTTTATACTGTCTTGGTACACATGTATGTAGTTAGATGTTTGTTTAAGTTACAAAAAACCTTTTTCTTCTTTTTTAGTAATGTTGTAGAGTAATTTCCTGTATCTAAAGTATTTTGTGATATGTACTTGTAAAATTTTGATGGGATTATATAAAAAAATATAGGAAAAGCTCTCTGGATGCTGCAAAGGGTCGAGCGTTTGAAATTAGCAAGCAAGCAAGGAATGGATACAAAACAGACGTGTAGCTGTTTTTAGTGTAAAGCAGAAATCAACAGCGATATTTAACTGAAGGTGTGAAAGCAGAGGCGTCCCAAAGGGAGATATTGGGGGTGCTGTATCCCCCCAAAAAAACTTTGTTCGTCGTCGGGACAAAAAGGAAACTGGCGGGCAAAAGAAGGAATGTTTTCTCTCCCTGTAGTGTAATTTCAATTTTTGTTTGCGATGATGATTGTGGTATAACAATTTCTGTAGCAGTTGAATTTTCAAAGCATGGCACTTGAGTATAAATTTTAAAATAGAAACGCATTAAAGCAGCATACAAGATTATTTAACTTATGGCCACGCCCTTAAAGAGTCAGACACGCCCTTTTTGCCCACAAAAATCATTTCTGTATCACAAAGAAAAAATTTTTAAGCTTCATCCTTCTGTCAAATTGTATATAATCTACCTTCTGGCTCCATTATTTTCTGCTTCGGCAGAAAGACCATTCTAAGTTCACCGGAGAATAAAAAGTTACCTGCGAGGTAGTATGACAGAGCGGAGATACAACATCTTTATGATGCTTTGTTCTCTTCCGTGACAAACTAAAAAAATATATTTTAAAATGGTTGCCAAAATCTTTGTACAACGCAACAACAGTCGCAAACATTATTTTGGTAAATTCCAAGTAAGGAGGAATTTTATCCAAACAGGTCTCGTAAAATTTTTTCTTCTAGTTAAAAACGGGACTACTTCCAAAAGTGCAAACTTAAAGTTGTTTTAGTTGCTCTACTTGTCTAGAAAAGTTCTTCGATATTGTACAAAGTAAACGTTAGTAACAGACTTGTATTGCTCAATGGCTACTGAAGAAGCTAAAAAATGAGTTTTATTTACTCAGAGTGGGCGTGCTTCACAATTGTTCTTTATATTGCAGTGCCCCCCCCTCCCCCTCACTTTTTGATACGCTTCTATGTCTCCGAGTACCACAGACACATTTACCTTAAAGTTTAAAGTATTTTAACCAACTTCTCGGTTTTCCACAGATTGTTAGCAGAAACTCTTTGAAAACTGCTTTTTGAATTAGCATCGTTGCCATGGATGCTAAAAGTTTTCTTTATGTAATCTTGACCTTCTGCAACATTTTCATCTGATCTTCCTTCTAAGTGGCTTTTAAACCAGCCATGTTTACTTTTGATTTCAATTTCTTTGATCTTCTTGCGTATTATGTATCGCTTTACTTCAAAACTGTCTTTTTCACTTTTCTAACTAATGTCGTCGAGGATAGATCTATAATATGGCTTTAAAAAGTGTATATTTCATCCCTTTCTTCAATAACCATGCCAGAAATTTCTTTGGTTAAAGTGCTTTCGTTCTTGGTTAACTAGATGGCTTTTTATGCTTAAAATTTTGTGTAGAAATAAAGTCTTCATACATTTGTTCGGTGAACTATAGACACAAGTAGAAATTTAGGAAATAGTCTCAACAGGCTGTTCATTGTTTTTTCTGTAATTAAAGAAACATCAAAGCATAGACTGTGATCACAGTAAGTCAATATTCACCAAAAATGCTGTTCTTGTAAAAAATAAAGACTTTTTTGCTTGACATATAGGGGTTTAGAGCATCAGTTTAAGCAGAAATGGAATGGTCAAGAAAAATTCCTCTCGTCTAGGCGTAGTGCTTGAGCTTTCTTTGGAATCATTCCTCCATCTTTATTTTCTTTTCCGGATGCGTTAATTTTTGCCGTCTTTCCTAGCATGGGTTCAGAAAATTTGTCAAGAGTGCAAGAGCAAATGCTTTTTTGGACCTTAACTCAGTCAGATAAAAGAAAATTTTAGGATGTTTCCGAGACTAAATTAAAGCCTCTTTGCTTTAAACTCTTAGCTTTCTTTGCTCCTACTTTTTAAGAATTTTCTGTTAAACTAATGAGAACTTCCTGCTTTTTGAAGATTATAAAAACTCGAGCTTGGAGAAATAGCTTGCGAAATAGTCAATATTTGATATTTGATGACAAACATTTGATAAATCCTAAATCGTGTAGTTACGTGCAATCAAATACTCGTTAGGACGAATAATTAGATTGTCGAGCAATTTCCTGATGCAAAAATCTTTCAAATTAACGTTCCTGAACTCAAATTGGGTCAACTCTAGCAGTAATGAAAGAAAGAATCGATTTATTGAAGAAAATGCATTGATTCGATTGAAATAACTTTACACATCCACATAGGTACCTTTACGTATATATAACCCATTTTTGCTCGGTTTACGCCATCAACTTTCTAACAGTTGAACAATTTCTACCCCTACGAAACTGACTTTAAAAGTTGCTGTCAACACAAAA